GTTAATGTGCATAACTGAAATCCTGTGATACCAATTTGTCATGTCACCAAAGAAAAGACAAACTTAGTGGCCATTTTGTATCAAAGCCTTGTTGGAACTAATTCAATGGAATGTAGCAACAAATCAAGCATTTTGCAAATAACAGATTTGATGAAGAAAAGAAGCATACTGCTGTTTTATGGTAGTATCATTACAACGAGAAAGTCCTTTTGTATGACGATGAACAACAGTATTCTGTGAAAGGTTTCTTAACCTGTTACTTTATTTTACAGCTTGTTTTCTTGACAGTTGGCTGATCCATGTGCCAGTTTTGCAGCCTCATATACTGAAGAAGTGTGGAGCCATTAAAATCAGTGGGTTTGCAAAAGCTGATCAGTCAATCATCATATCTGTATTTAGGCAGGGAGATGGGACAGTAGATGAAAGTGATATTTAACACATTTTCTACTATAGTTCATCTGTTTTACTCTTTTTTAGCTCAGGACATCATGAACCTAAGCCCTGTGGGTGCATGGACCTCTCTGGACCCATCGGAGAATGCAGCAGACAGTGATGCTAAGCAATGACTCTCTGCAAGATTCAGAACCCATCCATCACTGTAACTGGAAGGACACCATGATGTCACATGACTAGGCCATAGACATCTGGAAAAAAAGGTATGTATACAGATAAATACCCTTAATTTGAAAAAGACTGTGTTGGGGTAGGCTTTAATGGCGTTGGGAAGCAAAGCTTGGTTTAAAAAAAATCACAGCTCCTCATAGGGACTATAGTCATGGCTAGTGCAGATCTAAAATTGTTATTTAAGGTAGGGAAGGAAAATACCTGAACCACTGAGAAAAGTGCCATCAATAGATAAGGAAGAAAAGGCAGGCAAGGAAAAAGGAGTACAAAAAGTACATGGTTGCACAGATTTCGGGCATTAGATTTTAAAACAAGTAGCAAAATAAAAGATTCTCTTTAGGTCCATCTGACAACAGCACAGGTCCAGGACAAAGGCATTGTATTTACTATGAATTCATGTTTGTATTCCAGTATACACCAATTAGCCATAATATTATGACCACCTGCCTATTATTGAGTAGGTTCCCCTTTTGCAGCAGAAACAGCCCTGACCCGTCAAGGCATGGACTTAACTAGAGCTATGAAGGTATGCTGTGGTATCTGGCACCAAGCTGTAGGTTGCAGATCCTTTAAGTTGCGAGGTGGAACCTAATTTTTCCAGCACAATCCCACAGATGCTCAATTGGATTGAGAGCTGGGGAATTAGGAGACCAAATCAGCACCTCAAACTTTTTGTTGTATTCCTCAAACCATACTTGAACCATTTTTGCAGTGTGGCAGGGAGCATTATCCCGCTGAAAAAGGCCACTGCCATCAGGGAATACCATTTCCATGACTTTGTCAGCAACAATGTTTAGGTAGGTAACATGTCAAAGTAACACCCACATGAATGGCAGGACCCAAGGTTTCCCAAAAGAACAAAAGCATCACACTGCCTGCACCAGCTTGCCTTCTTCACATAGTTCATCCTGATGCCATCTTGTCCCCAGGTAAGTGACACGTATGCACCCAGCCATCCACATGATGTAAAAGAAAATGCGATTTATCAGACCAGGCCACCTTGTTCCATTGCTCCGTGATCCAGTTCTGATGGTCATGTGCTCATTGTAGGCACTTTTGGCAATGAACACAGGTCAGCATGGGCACTCTGATCAGTCTGCAGCTATGCAGACTCGCAGCCTTATGCGCAACAAAGTGTGATGCACACCATCAACGCAACAAACTGTGATGCTCACCATCACCGGCACTACAATGGCAATCCAGATACATCTATTTATTGACATACATGCAGCATAGCATAACACACTTAGTGCAACGTTTCTGGGTCTCACAGGACCGCCTTCATCAGGCAGAACAAGTGAAACAGATGCAAGTGAAACACACATGAATATATATACACACCATATTGTGAGAACAGACCTATCCCAGAGCCTGCTGAGACCCTGTGATGTTGCAATGACATCATACTCCCTCCATAATTCAAATCAGCAATTGTCTAATACAAAGTAAAGCATGCAGCAAACTTCAACAAAAAGTATAAAGGTACAATCCATGTTCATATGTGCAATTAATCAATACCTATTGTTACCTTATGAGTTTGTCAAATCTTCATAAGACATATGTATATAGTTTTATTTCTTGTTTTAAATATTTCACCTGAGGTGGGGGTAGCTTGTAGGGAAATAAAGTCTTTGTTGTGCTTATCACTGTGGAGGGGAGTGGCAGGCCCAATGAATTGCAAATAGGGCTATTGTCGAGCCCAGGCCTGTTCGAATAATTGCATAGAGAGGGGTGGGGAGTTGTAAAGAGGGTCTTGGAAACCCTCCAATCTCCATTAGGCCTTGGGAAGCAACCAATGGGAGGCTTGCCATGCTTCCCTATGGACACCAGGGGTATATTAATGATTGAAAGAAAGAAGCTAGCTCTCTTTCACCAGGATGGGGCCCTCATGTGACGATTAATGGGTAACTATACATATAATCTTTCCCCCACTTAACTGTATGTCTGTTTGTCTGTTAGATACCAATGTCTGGGTATTTGGCATGTTTAAATCTTTTCTTTGTATGTTGTAGTTAAATAGATTGTTGGTTCATTGTATTTAAGTCTTGATACTATATACCAATAAATTCTGTTATTGTGTTGAGCTCAAAAATCTCATGAATGAATCCTTAGAATCTCATACCTGTAAGTGTGAATGCTTATATAGCAGATCATAACTTTAAATAGTAATTCAGGTAACACTATAAAGTGGAGTGATACGTAAGTTTGCAGATAACGGCTATGCAGAAAACAGCTGTCTGTTGTCATGGTAGCGGCGGGACTCATACCATGAAAGGCCGCACACACCCATAGCGGTGTGGAGTTAGCCACGTCACAGGCAACCATAGTTGCGGCAGGACGCTGCTGACGGAGTTGACAGTTTGGATACAGGAGCGAGGTCACCACTAACAGGATCAAAACAAACCATGGATCATGGATCAGAGATGATCAATGATTTACATATAGTTCAAGGCAAACTTTCAGAAATACAACAAGAAACATCACTTTTCGGCATCCATAGGCACACTCGTGCGTAATTTATGAATGTACAGCATTAATTTATGAAGGACTGGAGGGGTGCACATGCGTCACTACTGTCAGGTATGACATGTACTAGCCATGATTGATACTGGGAAAACACGGAAAAATAGGTATGAGAAGCGGCCATCAAAGACTTTGCTTATATGCATTATTATAAACATAAGGACATCATTTAAATAAAACAAGGGACATTGATCACAGACGAGACCCTAGGGCATAAACTCATATCGTGATGTAAGCCGAAGAATATATATGCAAAGTGAGGTATCGAAGTGTGCGAACCGTGAGCCCACTAATGAAATGCCAGAATTGATGGGCATAAGGAAAAATAACAAATTCGGACCCATCGGTAGTTATTATACCCAACAAAGCATGTAAACACATGCGCCATGATGCAAAATGTCAAAAGTAAAAATGGGTACGCTATGGGTCACAGTTAGGTAAATTGTAGTATGGGTAGTGAACAAAATGTATGATTCCTACTTAAGGAAACGTATGCAATGCTGTATAAATGCATGTGAGTAAAAAAGTACAATTGAAACATAAAAGATCATGAGGTATATGGTGATGCAAGGAGAGTCATATATAGACAAGTCATGGTTAATGGTCAAACTGAGGATATAACAGCATATAGACCTCTTCACCCCAGTATCTGGCGACACCCAGGCTCCGTAGTGGGACATGCTAATGTACAGTATGAGCAATATTCACGTAACCGACTTTTTGTGGACGTTTGCTGCCTGCTTTACTTTGTATTAGACAATAGCGGATTTGAATTATGGCGGGAGTATAACGTCATTGTGACGTCACAGGGCCTCTGCAGGCTCTGGGATTGGTCTGTTCTTACATTATGGTGTGTATATATTCATGTGTGTTTCACTTGCATCTGTATCACTTGTTTTGCCTGATGAAGGGGATACTATGAGACCCCAAAACGTTGCACTAAGTGTTGCTGCATGTATGTCAATAAATAGACGTATCTGATTTGAACTGCCATTGCACCCACTTTATGGAGCAGCGGTTACGAGTGCAATGGGTATATGGACTGTGCACTGTGTGTTCAGACACCTTTCTATTGGCACTAGTATTAACTTTTTTCAGCAATTTGAGCTACAGTAGCTCTTCTATTGGATCGGACTACACGGCCAGCCTTCACTCCCCATGTGCATCAATGAGCCTTGGCCGTCCATGGCCCTGTTGTCGGTTCACCAGTTTTTCCTTCTTTGGACCACTTTTGGTAGGTCCTGACCATTGTAGACCGGAAACATCCCACAAAAGTTGCAGCTTTGGAGTTGCTCTGACCCAGCCATCACAATTAGGCCCTTGTCGAAGTCGCTCAAATCCTTGCGCTTGTCCATTTTTTCTGATTCCAACACATCAACTACGGGGGTAAAATGTTCACTTGCTGCCCAATATATCCCACCCACTTCCAGGTGCTGTTGTAATGAGATATTCAATGTTATTAATTTCACTTCTCAGTGGTCATAATGTTATGGCTGATCGGTGTATACATCCTGTTCTGTTATATGTGCCACATACTGCCTAAAATGTGGAATATAACATTGGTACAAAAAATGAAAAAAAGGCCTCAGTCATGAAGGGGTTAAATGGCTTGTCCTCTCAAATAATACTTGTAACAATCAGTATCTGTTAGCATAATCTACTTATCTACTAAATATTCCCATTCCAATTGCAAAAGAGAAAAAGTTCCCATTTTTACTCAGATGCAGACATGTCTATATTTGTGTATAGGATTACATGGTACTAGTTGAGACATTTGCAACCAGAAAAAATTATCACCAACATGTTTAGCCTAGTCTCCTGAACACATGAAAACACATATCAGTTTGAAAAGATCACCATTCCTTCCTAATGAAAAAGAAAGCTAAAAACATTACTTTAAACACAACTCCAGATTAAAAATAAAAAAAAATACATTGCACAACTCTTTTAAAAATAATAAATGGGGGCGTGGCTTGGCGCATGGAGCGGTGAGACGTGTATCGGCTCGTCTCCCGCTCAGGGGCATATCTTACTGCAGGCAGCAGCGGCTTTCTCCCCCACGATCACCGGCAATGAGCGACCGGAGGAAGAGGAGTAAGAAGCAGGCTAAGAAGGGGCCTGTGCCGCGGGAATTGACCCGATATTTCGCCCGGACGGCGCCCGCGGCCTCTCACGCTGCCTCCACACGTGCAACCAAGATGGCGCCGCCGGAGTTATCTCTTTTGAGTTTTGATACTGATTGTTAAGGAACTGTTAAAAAATACTAATAAAAACTGATTCAACACTAAAAATAATAAATGCAGCTTTCACTGCAATACTTATCTTCTCTTGTCCAGACAATCAGCTTTGTCGTCCAGCATTAGCCTTTTTCTGGCCTTAATCATAGCTATACTTGAAGTTGGGCTTTAACCAGTTGTGGACAATGGACATGCTATGTACACTGAAAAAATCCTCATCAAAGTACCTAAATCATACACAGCATGATATGTCCTTCTAACTTGCTGCCAATCCACCCATCCGCACTTGCCAGCAATTCACAGCTGTCAAAATGACAGCCAAGAGTTCCTGTGTTATAAAGCGGCTAATACAGACTTCCTTTGGTCAAATATGGAGCATCTTGCCCCATAGTCTCCAGCGCCCTTTCATCTGCGTTCATCAGCCTTCTTTCATCTGTGAGGTCATCATGGAAATTCACTGTCACAGGTATTAAAAATTATTATTGCCCCTAAGGTAACAGGATTTTCATTCTCTTTTTTTTCTGGAGAATAAAACTTTAACGATTAAGTAATATTTCAGAAGTATGCTTAGAGAATTAGTATTTTACCTTTCCTATAAGCAGCACAGCAGCATCATATAACATACCTTACAGTAAGGTACATACCAATTTATATAATAATATATGTATATATTAGCAGCACGGCTGCTTGTTCATACTGAATCAGCCTACATTTAGGAGGCTGATTAGAGACTGCACTTCAAGCAGGCAGACCCGGAATGTGTGCCATATATTTGAAGAGTCTGGTTTTATTTTTGGAAGCATGTTTATTACTTGTAGGTTGGCTAGGTAACACTGTCAGATAAAATGCTGCACACGAGCCTCTGATTACATGGTTCACAGAGCCTCTGTACTGAATGTGCACGCATGACTGAGCCTGGGAATTTGTACTGGATACCTGGTCATTCATGATAAAAAGTCATCCTCAATCCTATACATTAGTGTAGTAAATACAACACATTTCCCTTACACTTCTTTTTTTTAATTTCACTGTTCTACCGTTATTAAATAGTTAGTCAGGTTGAAAATAAATATTGCTAGCCGCCCTCCCACCCACAACACAATGTAAGGACCCCCAACAAACAGCATAATACACAGTTTTAAAACATACAAAGGGGAATGTACTTATTCTTCTCAAATCATCTCTGAATTCATGCTGACACTGTCCTTCCTTCTGGAGGGTGGCTACCTTTGTTCCCCATTGTCCCTGTGTGTGTTGTAAAGTAGTCACCGCTCTTCACGGGCGTGTCTGAGCGGACGTCTAAAGACACCCGCTCAGATCTAGAGAGCTCCGGGCCGGCCGTTTTTTTACTACGGCCGGCCCGGAAGTGGTTAAGGGGTTATGGAGCAGTCAGTACAACATGAAAACAGGAAGTACACTCTCTTCATTCTCTCCGAAGATAATATAACATGCCAGCTCCAGAATGCATTGAGTACAGGAAATGTAAAAAAGCATGGACCACATAGTGGCATTAACAATCCTGGCATACGTTTATATCATACAGAAATGTGATATTATTAGCAGATGGTGTTTTCTTCCCCCTTGTTTGAAAGTCTGATCTAAAAAAACAAACCAGACCAAGTAGCATGACCAACCTTTACATGTTTCTACCTGGAAAGTAAAGCCAGGAAAGTTTAAAGAACCCAAAACTTCTCCACTACACCAGTGCACAGCACAGCAGAGAAGCAGAAAACATCTACATATCATCGGTCCCATCACAAATTCTGATAATATAAAGAGTTTATTATTTAATTTAGGCTATTGGGGGTGGGGGCACACCAACTGCGCATTCAGAGCTGCTGGATTTCCAGCATGGGTACAGCCTAATATTATAGCGCCATTTATGTATTTCAAATTGCATACAGGTATGTTGGCCATCATCAGTGCAGTAAGCTTCATCTTTTCATGGGAACGCCATTACAAAATAACAAACTATTTTGTAATAATCTCATCTCCTATCTGAAAACAACCAGCTTTCCAATCTCAGGCATTATCTAAGTTTCTAGTATTTTTCTAATGTTTTTCTTTGCCGAAATCAAGTATTTACTTGTTACTGTCTTATTATATAACCAAAGGGGGCCCTTTTTTTTACCATTTGTATGTCATTTGTTTTCCGAATACATGTTTATGTACTTGTTCGTTAGTGGGTATATATGAAACCTCCTTTCTCTTAAACTGTGGAGATTGATGCAAATTTTGAAGGTGCTAACCACAAATTACATATTATAATTAGTAAATTTTGTAAACCTGTAAATTTCAGGTTTAAGATATATTTTTTGTTTCCTATAAAGTATTTTCTTCATTTGCATCACCATCAGTACTAAAGATAAAAAAAAAAGATAACATTTAACCTATTTAGTCACTTACTCTTTGAAGGTATTTGTCTCTGGATCCTCTGTCATCACATCGTGTAGACTTTCCACACAAATGTTAATGATTGCACAGAATTTATCTTGAATAACACTGTAAAAAAAAGAAAGAAAATGCTATTTGATGATTACTGTACCAAAGATAGTTTGCAACATTTACAACTGTTTAGGGTAATGCTGCAAAGGGGATTTCTACCTTTCAGTCCTGCAGGTTTCACATAGTTGTGTACAGTACAAGTGGCCAGTAGAGATGAGGCTGGGCTTGGTGCAGCCTAAGCCTGCTCAAAACTCTGATTATCACCCCCTCCTTCTAACCCAATCAGTGTTGGCAGTTGTGGCAGGGGCATGCCCCGGCCCTTTGTGACATATAGCTGGAGAGCACAAAATGCACCTCCCTGCAACTGATTGCGTCCAGAGGAGTGGGTGGTGGTCAGAATTTTGAGCAGGCTTGGGCAACCTCTGGCAAACTGGGTTAGCACCAAACTCAGCCTCATCTCTAGTGTCCAGCAGCTAATTGGTTTATAACTAGCAACAAAATAGCATGTGAGAAAGGCAATTAGCTGCAGGTGTATTAAAGACATTTCAAGGCATCAGTTTTTCTCTTTAGGGCTTGTTCCCACCAGATCCAGGCCAGAACGTTTTTAGTCGAACCAAACACATATAAACAGCAATTCCATTGTGTTCGGTTCCAGAGCTTTAAAAAAAAAAAAAAGAACAGCATGCTGCATTATTTCTGGTCTGGAACACCCCTAAAACCCAAGCAACACCAATTGAGAACAAGATAAGAACACACTGTAATGCATCAAAAACGCGCATGACAGCACTTGCAGAAACGCATCCACTCTGGCCTGGAGGTGGTGTGAACAAGCCCTAATCAGAAACTTCATAAATGAGGCCTAAGGTGTCTGTATATGTGGTCCTATTGTAATCTACAAAAGTACCATTGTTAGCAAAGCTTACCAAAATGTTGCCTCCTCTGTATATAATAGGCACTGAGGAGATGAGGCTTTGGCTTAAACTACACCTAAAGCACAAGGACAGTTTTGAACCAATATTTTCAGTGGTACTATTCTCATTAAGACTGCATATTTTATATTATTTATAGGAAACCTAGAATAAGAGAAATAAGAAACCTGTCAATTCTGACCTTTCCTTCTGAAAATGTTTCCACGCTGTTATGCTGGCTCTACTGTTTCAATACTTCTATCCGATGGGCTGGATCAAGTAGGTAGATAATTAATTTTCTATCCTTCTGACCAAGGGAAGCCTCGGCTATATTGGCTTTGCTATTTAGCCTTTTTTGTTACACTTCATTTGGCAAACATCACAAAAATGGCAGAAAGACAAACTTACTAATGAGTACGCCTGCTAAATTTTAAGAAGTTTTAAGGCGTAAGGAAGGATCTATTATCCCACCAGAGAGATTTCCCTCACTTCCTATGTGATCAATGGAACAGGAAGTGAAACAGACACAGACCCCCAAGCAAAGAAAAAACATTTTGCAGCAGTTGTAACCCTACTGCACACTGCTAAAATAAAGTGAATTCCCTTCCCTTTATATACCAATGAAAGGTTTAACGGAGTCCTCAATCTCTTTTTCTATTTTAAAAGGGAAATATCAGCGGTCTGTTTAGACCCCTACTATTTCCCCGAAGCCCCTAAAAGTAAAAAATACAAATATTTAATAAAAAAGTAATAAATACATAAAAAATTAAATATAAAAAAATTGAAAGGTTATTAAAAAATAAAATGTTAAAACAAATTGAAAAAGTTAGAACAAAAACACATTTTCGGTTTCGCTCCGACATGTTTTTCATTTCGGTTTTGAAATTTTAATTTTGGTGCACCTTTAATAAACAGTCTTCTTCTGGAGGGACACTTCAAAATGTACACTTAATGTATAAATGTATGTAAAGATGTATACTTAATACATTATAGCTTTCCTTTATATAGACACATTTATTCATCAGAAAAGTGTAAAGGGCCCTTAGAAGACCTTTTCTATGGTCACAGAGCATACTGGGAAAAGTCTGCGAGCAAATCTGGAGACATTACTTACTTCACTCACTGACAAATGGACAGTGACAGATATGCCACAGGTAATGGCGTGAATAAGCTCATAAAAAGCATCCTCATTTTATTTCTGGCTCACAGCTCAGCTCTCTGATATTCAGCTAGCTACATTCCAGGTAAACAGCTAAATGCACAGATTAAATACATATAAGGGAACTGTTTTATCTGTCAAAGGATGTGTATTCCTCTCCATCCAGTTTTGAGATTTACACATCCCTGCCAGACAGCACCTCCAGGTGGATAACACCAGTTTCTGTGTAACAGTTATAGATTGTAGAAGGAATACAATAGTTTCCACTCTATGCCCAGCCTTCTGATTGGACAGTAAAGGAAAAAGGAGGAAACTGATGATGTCCACTCTAATCTTCCATGCTACCAGCTCCAACCTAACTCCTAGTCCTACTTTCTCCCACTCAAAGTGTAAGAGCCGGGTAACAGATACAATTGAAGTATGTACACTAGTTGCATTTATTATAAATACCTAGCTGCAGAAATGTGTCTCTTTAACATCTGCCCAGAGTTCAGCTTTAAGAAAACAAAACTGTACTGGCTTCCAGATTCCCAGAGAGAATATCTGAACTAGAAGAGGGTGAGTACTGAAACACCGCATGGTGTACAACACGCAGCATACTTTGACAACTCAATGCACTGCTTGTACAAAGACTGGGGCATTAAAAAGGACTATAAGGGTGCATTCTAGGAAAATAATAGGAAAAACCCAAGTGTAGAAATGTTAAGCTCGTTAAATGTCTATTGAATGTCCATTAAATCATTACAAATTAATGAGATTATGGTGATTTTACTTGAGGGGAAAATGCTACTAATGTAAAAATCTATGAAATACCAATTACTGTATTCAATTAAAATTAATGCTGACAAGATTTTAATAGCTACTTCAGATGGATTTATGAATTTATACCCTTTGGAAATTCAACTTCCTTCTCCCAAAACACACATTGTACTTGTTGGAATATAGAAAACCTTGTGCAGCATAAGGGGAGATATCCAAGGGTTTTCAGGGATTGCCTTCACAAAACAGAAAGCTAATTCTACATAACTGATATTGTGGAAAAAAAAAAAAGAGAAACAATTGCTGACAAATATAAAGAGCCGGTGCCTAGAGGTACAGTATTTACTCATACATGCATCAGCTTTCAGAGCCCCACTCTGCCTGAGAGCACAGCCATTCTGAGTGTGCAAATCTGTGCTGGCCATACACACCTGAGAGCTGAACGAATTAAATCTAACAGATTTATCCATCCACGCTAAACAGCGTGGATGAACAAACCTCCACTGGTAGAATATTATATTCTGACTGCAGAACAGTGACTGCAGCTGATTGGAGTTCGGCCAACAATTTTCCACCTGACTCCTTTAAAAAAAAGTTGATTGCAAAATTTAATTTTGTTGAGCACAGTGCTGCTGGCAGGGCCACCTACAGCTCAAATTTCATCCAACTCAGTAGGAGGGGGCAGACCTCGGGCAGAACTCAGTATCACTAACGTATTTTCAATAAATTGATTCAGCATGGAACAGAGTGCAGTCGGATTCTTCCATTAATATATGGCCAACTTTATTGTTCAAGTACAAGCTGTGCCCACAGACAACCATCTCTCAAAAAAGATTTTATTTCCATGTATTTACATAAATCATTTTAATCCCTACACTTCTGGGCTATTCACTTCACGGCTGCACATTTTTTACCTGCATCACACATGGAAGCAACGATGTGCATCTTACACCACATTATTGGGTATGCAACACATGCAAGTCAACGAATGCAGTAATATGAATTGTAATATGTGCTAATGCAGGTAAAAATACTGGGCAGAAAAAGCTATAAATAATATATAAATCAGCTATAAACTATAAAGCTATAAACAATATATAAATCAGTGAGTAAAATGGCATGGTTTATAACCTCTGGCTCTATTGCTGTCCATAGTTTTCTAATGCTATATTTTTGATTTACTGTCAAATTTGAAAAAGAATCAAATAAAAATTACATTATTTTGGATCTACCACTGGGCAATCGAGTTGAAAAAACCCTGACTGAGCACAATGGAAAATCTGAACTCTGTTTATCAGACAGCTTGATGGCGTTTCTGGTGTTGACTGATTTCTAATCGAGCACAATTATTTTTCTCAAAGGTGACATTGCAAAGGGAAAGATTGTGGAGGGGAGATGCAGTATGTTTCTCCTCATTTTTGTCCTATGTGAGAGATTGAGATTGGGATCCAGGCCAGCTTTTGTTTTTTTTTGTTACATCATGATCCAAGCCAGGTTTTTGTTCCCACTGGCCTCTCAGGTCTGACACAGGTGAAAAGAGTAGAAGCTTGGAGCAGAGATGGCTGATCTTGGGCATGGGGGACTTACTAGTGTGAAGTCATACAGACTGTGAGCAAAGGTTGCTAAAAAATGCGATTTCTGGAATTGGCTGGGGCTAGCTCTCCAATTGTTAGTGATGAAAGACTATAAGGGCAACACTTTTCTGGCAGTATAGTTCCTTTAAATAGTCCTGCGCCTAATTCATGCCACAGCTTCGCTAAGAGTTCCAACACATGCAACAGATTTAAGTAGTTCTTATTTGCCAGTTTCGCAATATGTCGCTATATACAAACTGCCAGTTTGTAAAAAACTAAACTGGGGGTATTAAGAGCAACTCTGAGTTGGTGTAAAGGGGCAGGCATGCAAACATGCCCTATACTATGCAGTTGGGCCACTGTGTAGTAAAGAGCAAGGCATGTTTGCACTTGCAAGCTGTCATAAGGGTGACAGTTCCCCACTCAGGGCTAGCTGATTTCTAGGCCATGTTTGATCAATGATGTTAGCCAGCATCCCTGCCTCGTTGTTTACATTCAGCTGTTGGCCAGGGAACCTCCTAGTCAACAACTGAATGGTGGGGTCGGGTATATATTATTGGTTGCTACAATGCTGTCGGCTGCAAAGTCAACAGTGTCTTTGCAACTGATGATGTGGAGCAAGATTGACAGTGGGCAAAGTTTGATAGGAAACTAAGA